GGCGTGACCGTGACGACGGAACGATGTGAAATTGTCCGGTGCTGGGTACGCAGTGAGCGCCATGCTCGCACAGCTAGTATAGAAAACAAGAGCTACGGTGCCGTCGATCAACTGCTAAACGAACACGTGGTCTAGATGACTGCCTCGCATTCTGGAGACGAAATAGTGACATCACAAAGCGGGACGGTAGGGAGCGGTCGGGGACCACGATGGGGTGGATATACGACGGGTTCTGATGTGTCGATGGTTCGTCGATCGGAGACGGGGTGCTGAGACACGTACGGTTGACAACGGTGCCAGAAGGGAGCGAAACGTACAAACACAAACAAACGTCGTTTGTTTGCTTTTGTCGGGACGGGGCAAGAACTACAGCCAGAAAGACGTGGGTGGATGCATAATAGACGAGAAAACAGAACTATTGAAATGCTACCGGCAAGACGACACTCCACTCGTTTACCAAAACATATTAACGAATTATTATATCGATCACATAAAAACCGTTTAAAATTTTGTAACAGAATAATTTGTGGAATTTACGAGAGACGACAAGTTTGAACGAAGAGTGCGCCCGAAGCGCTGAGAAGTCGGTGGTCGAGTGTCGCCGATGCCGGCGGTAGGGATGCAGTGAGGGCGGAGGGCGAAGGGAGGGTCACTACGCGCTAGGGGGTGCGGTACCGTTAGCGTCCGTCGCTGAGCGTGCCGCGCGAGGCGCCGCGGCCGCCACTACACCTCGGTCTCGAGCACGGGCCGGGGCTGCCAACAACATCTCTCAACGACGCGCGGCTCCACGCCCCATTCGACACCGTCCTACGTGCGTACGCAACCCTAGCTGTACAATGCCGCCGGACAGATGTGGAACGGGCCCACTGACGTCATCATCTCCCTCAACTGATCGTGCCTCATGCGGATCGACCCTTGTTGAGTGAATTGCATTATTGGGCCCGAGTATATTCAAAGTATTAACTAATAGGAGAACAAGGAAACACCCGAAAACACAAGTTACTTTGTGATAGCCTGGAGGGCATTATGTTAGTATTGGATGTCATAGCAATGTCAAGTTTGAATATATTATCGACTGCTCTCTGTTATAATTTACATTCGTTAGTTAAAATTATTTAACAATCTAATAAATTCGCTGTGTGTGTCTCTTAAGACTCAGATTTCAAATAACAGAAGATGACGTGAGACGATGAAGTCACAAAAAACATTGATGTTAAACTATTTAATAGTTCCATATCTGTCCTAGCGGCAAGCAGGCCAACACGGAAAAATAGACCCTTTATTAAACAAAAAAGTCAGGAAATAAACCGAAATGGAATTATGTGTATCGTGTATTTTGATGCGTGTAGGGGCAATGGACGCCCAGTGTCACGTGATACGAATATGACCCGGAAGAGTGCCAACCGAGGAGAAAAAACAAACCAAAAACAGAAAATAAAATGAAAAATAAAATAAAAATGGAAGGTCGAATCGAGGCCTTAGCTACCCTGAAGATCGACTGCCGACTACACTACGCCTACACAACGCAGGGACATCTCCTAAGATGCTTAGATGAGGACCAGGGGTGCACTAGGCCTTACACACGGTACACCTATTTACTTGCCAAGTGACGGCTTTATTCTTTTTATTTAATAAATTACAACCAAACGTTTTTACTGCATTCTATTTATATGTTTTTTTTTTATCAAATTCCATATGCGTCTATGGTGGTGGCTCGCTAGTCCGCATATATAGGTGGTACTTACACTAAAGTACAACTACCATGCCTTCGTTATCGTGAATTTTTTGTTAAACATCTATTTAGGAGCCAAGGAGGTAGGAACATATCACATTTAATTTTTTTTAGTACAACTTGACTGATTCGTATTGTGAAAATATCCGATTCAAAAATACTCTATAGATAGTTTAGATGATAATGGAAATTTTGATATTTGCACAATCTTATATCGTCGAGAAAGTTAGAAAGCTGAACAAAATCATTTAACTTTTGTTATTTTTTTGTAACAAAATATGAAAGTGGTTATTTTGTCTCTACATACATACTTTACTTACCGACATCGCTGCATTTAGAGCTTCGCTATATACAATACAATAATATGGACATCTACATCAAGCCCGACAAGACTTACGCAAAATAACACAGTGAAGGCAACTGTCCAACTGCAAGGCAATGCAAAACTACGGATGATGACCTTGCCGCCCAGTGTGACGCTTGTACCCACCTGTCACATGACTGACAACACACCCCGACATAACACGCCACTAAGGGGACAACATTCACAAAAATAAAAAATAAACAAAAACACAAAAAAAAAAATCAAAACAAAACATAAAACACTGACAACAACACAACGGCAAAGGAAAGAGAGGTTCGACCGTAAATGGAACTTAAGTGTTAGTATGCGAGCACACTCGGCATGCTCTCGCTACGTGTGTATTTAATAATTTATATCTCAAGAAAAATCCACTCCACACTCAAATAAATTAACGTTCATTTTAATAGCAGTAACTGAACACAACTCGGTACAAAAATAATATTAAAATAATATATGAAAGTGGATAAAATATTAATTTTAAATCAAGTCATGTTACTGCCAAAATTGATATCGGTAACGCATGTTAGTCGGTACGCCGTGCGGGCCTGTCAATCTCAGGTTCTTTCAAAACGGCGTTCATATACAGAGCTGGGTTGCTTTGGATCAGTAGCGGGGATGTATCGGGGTGGCGTTTCACAAGCAAAAATACTATTCTTAAAAATAAAAACAGACAAAAATAAAATAAAAAATAGTAAAAAAACAAAATCAAACAGTCAGTATGACTCAAAGTTAAATAAAAGATAGAAAGACAGAGAAAGAGACAGAGATAGTCATATTCATACCGCGATGTGGTTTATGTTGAGTAAATATTATACTGATATACTATCGGGGTAGTCATAGTAACTGTTTGAAGGTATATACGAGGGATAAGTAACATTGTCACAGCCTACAAAGAGCATGCCAATAGGTAGTAGGAGGGGCTGACAGTCAACTCAGGTATTAAATATAGTCATAAAAAAACGGGAAGCGTCAGACTGTTTTGTACTGCGGTTCATGCATGGCGATAACTCGCGATAGTCCATCTAGTGACACTAACGGAACAGTCCCGGTCTCATGACAAACAAGGCTCTAGTGAAACGGAAAGATCAAGGTTGCGGACTAACATTGAAATATACATATATAAAATAAATTTTATGTAGATGTCATGAAAGCCGGTACTAGAATATTAAAATGGATTTTTTTTTTGATAAATAAATGTCTACTGTCAATGGTTGTTCGGTTGCCAATTTTTCTATTATATGTATAATAAATTAAAAAATAGTGATTTTGAAATTAGCGAACGAACAAGGTGTTAATATATCTACGTTAATTATGGGCCAAAAATAATAATAGCGTAAACTACATTTTATTACTTTGTAAAGTGTTTCTCTGTGTAGGTATAAAAAAACTTTCGAAAAGGAACAGAAGTATAGGAGAATGAAACGAAATATACGAGACGTAAAAGTAAATAATAAAATAGAAAATGAAAAATAGAAATTAAATAAAAAAACAATAAATAAAAAATAACGTACAGTCAAGTTGAAATACGAATTTATTACGGATAATTTTTTTTTGTGTATTTTTTATTTTGGTAAAATATATAGACATATTATTTCTTTCGACTCGTACTGTCAACAATCCGGCTTACTGTACGAACAAATCAAAAATGTGTAATATCAAAGGAATCAGCGTATTCTCTATAACTTCTATGACGAGTATATTCTATATGGATGCATATAATTGAAAAATGGTGGTTATATTCGTTTGTATGCAAAAATAGTAAAAGTATATATAATGAGGACAATAATATCGTAGACTTAGCGTTAGGATGCCCAAGGTATCCGCAGTGTTGACCTGTTGACTTTGCTGTATATTATATTTGTTTGTAATAGCTGTAAACTCAAAACTTATCCCTCTTTTGTAAACTCGAATATTAAATCTGCTCTTCCTATTTTATTTTTTTTAGTTTCTTTTTTTATTTTGGTACTTTTGCAATTTGTTACTTACACGTGTTCACTATTTTGAATCATAGTAAATACGTGCAGTATTTATATTTTACATAAAAGTGTCATGGAATTTCATCATGTCTGTTTTTTAATAATTTATCAGTCTTTAAATTGGTCGAGATTTCATGATGTCACCCATGAGTATTTACTGACAGCTATGTTCAATTAAAATATTCTAAAATAAAAAAATATGTGAAAGTATTAATTTCTTAATGTTTATTAGCTGTCAGTAAATTAAATAACTGCAAAAAATAGTAAAAAAGCCAAACGCACAAGAGATAGATATTCAGTTATCATTGAATTATTTTTTACATTATAAAAATTAGTGTTATATCAAATTTAATATCTGAGAGTATTGTTTGCAGTTACTTAATTTATTTATATCGGAAATTAATTCAGATATAAATAAATTTTTAAATATTTGTTTAAAACCCAATAATGTTGTGTATCTTTGTCCCAAACACATAGCCCCAAATACTGCTATTCCCCCACTTCACCAATAATTTCATATAAAAATATGTGTGATATGATTTTTATAAGAAATTCTCATTGAAGCCCCAAACAAACTGACAACACGACCTAATATATCTCTTAGCTGGGTGAGTTGCACTTATAACTTTATTTCTATTATAATAAATGATTTTACTCGAGTTGTTGCATTTATCAAATTAGCTGTATTACGTTCAAATCGTTTTACGCTACATGGATTTATTATAATCATCAAGTAAATTAATTATCAGTCTTTTATTAGATTGAGTATTCTTTTCAGTCTTTCAATTTAGTTTAATGACACTATTTTAAAATAAAAACTATTGCCTAATAAGACGTATGAAAGCGCAATTCACCCATCTGCCCCCCTCCCCCCTCCGCACCGGCGCGCCCCTCGCCCGTGTGTGCGTGTGCGTGTTCGTGTGCGTACCTGTGTCTGCAAACGTGTGAGTCCGCGGATCCAGAGGATCTGTCCGGCGCGCGGCTTCTTGTCGAGGTCCCCGTCGTAGTCCGGCCCCGGCTGGATACTCTCGGGGTCGGGCTGGCCTCGGCCCCATCTGGGATCACACGAATATCAATTCAATATTTTTTGAGTTTAATAATTTCTTCCAGGCAGATAAATTTTTTTTTTGTGCATTTCACAGGTACTGGTTTCTCGTAGTACGTCATAGGATTATAATGTTACCCATACCATTGCCAAAAATGAAAACCAAAAGTCGAACAAGGGGCCTAGTCTGAGTTTACTTCGAGTCAACTCGATCGTCACAGTGACAGCGTTCTACGTTGCGATTGCGATCACTAGAGCCGTCATCCGTACCCAAAGGGTAAAACGGGACCCCCTATTACTAAGACTCCGCTATGCGTATGTATGTCTGTCTGTCACCAGGCTGTATCTCATGAACCGTGATAGTTAGACAGTTGAAATTTTCACAGATGATGTATTTCTGTTACCGCTATAACAACAAATACTAAAAATAGAGTAAAAAATATATATTTAGGTGGGGCTCCCATACAACAGACATGATTTTTTTGCCGTTTTTATAGATAGTGGTACTTTTTTAAGCTTGGCCGGTTTTTTTAAGCTTCCTTTATTATATTCTATTTAAATACATACACCAGAAAAACATATTGCACATATTAATGACAGGATGGAACAATTACTAACTAAGCTATAATTACCTACCTCTAAAAATTATGTAGTAAATATTATGATAGTACAATTAAGGGTCAAAATTCAACCACCTGCTTACAAGAAGGATAGCAAATCTCAAATTGTTGTTAATATCTATGAAACCAAATACTACTTAAATATTGCTGCATAGTTTGTGTTATAACTACATTACATAGAAAAAACTTACATCTCTGGTTTCGATAATTCAAAGTACTTGATAATCAAAGGATGTTCTTGTATGTGATTTATTTTAACGGCCTCGGTTGTCTCTACTGGAAGACAGCTGAAGAATATGTGTATTTTATTTCCATACCTTGACACAAACCCTATGGCAACACGTCTGGCCAGCGTGGTATAGTAGGCCAAAACTTCCTTTCTAATGAGAGGCCTATGTAAAACAGTGGACTATTAAAGATGGTAGATGTGTAAGCTTTTTAATCATTCTCTAATATAATACGGTAGTCACACACCAGTATTCGTTTAACACGCCTCTGTTTACCAGACAAGGTTGTGGAAGTGAGTGTACTTATTCGCGAATACTTTTGTACGCATATGATTTGTCCGCTAATAGGTAATCTAACCCGTAACTTTTGATTTGTATCGGTTACAAAACCATCAGCTGCTCCATTTATTACATAGGTATAGTTATGGTAAGGATTACGTAAGAGTATGGTGATAAGAGTTACTGACACTTGGTTAAAATTTTGGTAATTGGGTTTTTAGATATACTTGGGGTTTTATGATAGGGTTTTTAAGATTTTAGAACGCCAGAGAGCAGGACAATAGAAATGGTATAATAAGTGTACACTCACGACAGTCTCTTGGGTATTTTCTTTGTGGGCATGGTGGTGACCAGCTGACCCCACACGAGGGTGCCGGCTCCGAAGAACAAGCACCACAGCCACTGGTCTATCGTCAGACCCGCCGTGCTGAACGCCATGCCGCCGAATTGGATGATTACAACCTGAAATTGAAATGGTAACTGTGTTGGTAGAATGAATTTATGATTACTTACAGGCAGTTTTTTTTTCGTTAAGATTTTTCACATAATAATAATTACTTCACACATCTCACACACGGCAAAACTGATCCCAAACTAGGAAGAGCCTGTACTATGGTAACCAGTCTGCTGATAAACAAACCTCTATGATTCTAAATAAATATATATTGGTAAATTACACCTAGACACAGAACAAATGCTTGTGCTCAGCACACAATTACTTGACCCGGGTAGGTATCGAACCTACGACCTCTGCTTAGTAGTCAGGGTTAGTAACCTTTAGATCAACAATCGATAATTATTAAAGTATTTCTAAATGATTTAATTCAAATGATATATTATATAGAACGCGCTTCTCCTATATCATTCTCTCCCCCTTTCATTCTGCCTCCCTCTCATTATTTACATTTTATTTTACACCAATAAGATAATGTAAGGCGGTCGGATGGCGTAGTGGTTTGTGTAACAGACTGATACGCCAAAGCGGGTTCGATTCCCGCTCAAACATTTAATGTTTGATTTGTATGTATTTACAAAAAAAAGTATATAATTATGTATTCATATCGGTTGCCTAGTAACCATAGTACAAGCTCTGCTTAGTTCGAGACTAGATGGCGTTGTGTGAATGTCCTAAAATAAAATAAAAGTGTGCTACATACATAGGTACTGTTTAAGATACATTAGAAAGTGACCTGTGAAAGTGCAGTCCCGATCCATATAGAATAAAAGATGGGGTTGGTGAACAGCCCCTGGAACACGTTCCTCTGGCCGTGGATCTTGCGCGCGTTGATCTCGTTGAACAACGTCATCATCACGAACGTGTTGAAGATGATTGTGAAATGCTGCGATGGTTCTGATGATAATTGTTGGCCGCGACCCGACGGTATGTTTAGCATCCTGTCGCCTGTCAAATGAATAAAATATTTTGTTACTGTATAAAAATAAAAAACGAAAAAAAAACACACTAATTGTCGAGTTGTTGTGGGAGTTCGCTGGTGGCAAACAAGTGATTAGTACTTTGCCACTACTACCTGCTACTACTACTGTTCAGATACTACTTTATTACTTCTTCTAGTTTGTTAGTATTTATACTCTAATATTAACCGTGTGTGAGCTAACATCTATACACACATTCAAACAGAGTTTTAGCTGACTAGTACGGAAATAATAAAATCATAATAAGCAGCAAATTATTGGGTTGCTGTTAAAGAGGTGACATACATGGTTGTACCAAACCAATGTACGTGATACGCATGTAATGTGCTAACAAAGAACATTCCTTAAAGAAGATAGTGTACTGTGTACCTCTTTTTTAAATCTTAAAAGTGATATTTTATGGTAGATAAATTAACGTACCGACAAACAGAAGCGAGAAAATAATAAAAAGCTGGTAGATGGCCTGTCCGAGGATGTTCTTCATCATAGTACGGGAGATAAGCGGCTTGGTCCTTCCGTAGGGTTTGCGTTGCAGCAGGTCGGGCGTGGGCATTTCCGTGGCCAGCGCTAGAGACGCCAGCGTGTCCATGATTAAGTTCACCCATAACATTTGTACGGCCTGCGAAGGTTTGGTCACAATTAGTAAAGCTTATTAAAATGATTAAATTAAAGAAATTCTAGTAAAGTGAGGTATAGATTATTAGTATTTCGGGTTGAGGTACCATTCAATCAAACCAAGTATTTGTGATAGGAGTTGAATCGGTAGAATACTCCTGAGAACCTAAATAATAGATAGAGCGTCAGACCTTAAGGGGACTGTCCTGTATTGCGCAGGCGCCGATGAAGGCGACGATGACAGCGACCACATTGACGGTGAGCTGGAACTGGAGGAACTTGGCGATGGAGTCGTACACGTTGCGGCCCCACATCACAGCCTTTACTATGGACGAGAAGTTGTCGTCGGTCAGGATGATGTCCGACGCCTCCTTGGCTACGTCCGTGCCGGCGATACCCTGGAAGGTACAAGGTAGCATCCTGATAGGTAATACTCCCTACAGTATCGGCCTTTTTTTTAATAAACCCAGAGCTGTCTATGTATTTACAAAACTCAATTAAACCGGCGGAAAGAGAACTAGATTCGCTTTATCTATAATATATAATATAATAAAGAAAATTGTTTTATCGACGTTTGTGAACATAGTTAAATAAAATTAAAGTAAATGTCGCTTATGCCCTTTGTAATATTAATCTAACATAAAAAAAAGAGTCGATAAGGAGTCAGCAGGAATTCCATAAGCCACGCTTTTTAAAACAGAATTTGTAGAAATAATATTGATAGTAATAATACTGTAAGAACAATTGTGATTATGTAGATACAAACAATCTTAGAAGCGGTTGGTATATTATGCTAAAATTTTTGCCCAATGGCAGCAGAATACTACTGCTACGAATTCATTAAGCACCTCAAAAGCAACGAAAGAAGTGATTAACACCGGTTTTCTGCGATTATTTACCATAGCAAATCCAACATCAGCCTTCTTGAGGGCGGGTCCGTCGTTGGTTCCGTCGCCAGTGACGGCGACCACCTCGCGTTTGTCGAAGGCCTTGGACTCGATCATGCCCTTCACCAGCGTGTACTTGTCCGTGGGCGACGAGCGAGCCAGCACGCGCAGCTTCGGCCACACCTTGTCCAGTAGGTGCTGTTGGACCTGTAGCACAAGTGTCACAACATTACTAATAAGATTAAAAGGGTTATATGGTTGTGAATTATTTATTTATCTACACTTCCTGCAATACTACTTGAACGAGTCAACCTTAAGATGGTTCAGTAAGGGACATGGCAGATGCGCGTGTATATTTTTATTTATTTCTAAATGTATTTATTTCTTTTTATAATAAGACGAAGAATAAATTCTGTGTCGCGTGGGACTTTACATGGCATACATGAAACGGACACAAAGAATTCCCAGACTCCCCTGTGGGGGTCGCCCCACACATTTGTGTGATCAACAAATCGTTTTTCTAAATCTGGGTGTTATTTGTGTCCTTTTTAGCCCACAACTCTTAGAACAGTAGGAAGCGGTGTGGCGATCGCTTAAATCACTACGCCATCCGTGCAGTGAAGTAGTTTTTTTATTTATTTATTTTAAACAGGAAAGTTTATGAGGATAGACGGATGATTTTTACTCAATAAACCCAAACGATCGAAGGGACGAGATATGCCACAGAGATACATTACAGTCTGGAATAGAACCTAGGCTAGTTTTTATCAAGGATTTTTTTTTGCCAATCTTTACATTTCAGCTTTGCTTGCGTTGAGCAAACACGCAGGTAAATGCTAGTATATTAATAATTGAAGAGATTTCGTGTTTTACGTCGTATTCTATTATCTCTACAGTTAAATAGTAAATAAAAAAAAATAAAAAAATATATCCAATTAAAATTATGAATGTGTAGATAAAGAAGTTACTTTGTGATGTCAAATAAGATTGCATTCGTAGTAACGTTCCATATGGAAGAAAAATCTTTTCAATTGTCTTATGCTCTCTCTCAATAGTGATCTTGACTGGTGAGCCAGAGATCGTGGATTCAATTCCCACCCAGGACAAAAAATTGGGAGATGAGAACGTTCACTTGTTGTGTCTAGGTGTAATTACGCATTTATTTAGAATATGTGTTCATATGTAGTCTGGTTACCACAGAACAAGCTTTGCCTGGTTTCGAATTAAATAGCCGTATTTGCAGTAGTTTAAGTTATTATTATTATCCGCAGTTCACGAAATAATGGTTACCTCTCCATTGGCATCCCTGATCCGTTGATTGAATTCCTTGCCCTCGAGTATGAGGAAGTCGTCCGAGGGCTTGAGTATACCACACTTGACTGCAATGGAGCGCGCCGTGTTCACGTTGTCACCCGTCACCATGCGGACCGTGATGCCGGCCTTCTGGCACTTCTTGATAGCTTCTGGTACCTACAATTATACAGATGACTATCAATTGTCTATCGTCAAACGGTTGATCTGAGAAAAAAATATTGACATAAACAACAACAATAACAAGTTTCAAATTCAAGAGTCAGTTACCTCTGGTCGCACAGGATCCTCGATGCCCACAACACATACACAGGTCAGATTATTCACGATGTTGTCCTCGTCGTCCCAGTTCGGTTCTTGGTCTATGTGCACCTAATTTAACAAATAACAGATCATGAGTCAATTTATATGTTTCTTATTTCTTCAGCCAAAAGATCTCCACTGCTGGACATAGGCCTCCTTCATTCAAGGTTCGCCACAAGAAGCGGTGCTTGTTGCCGGCATCCTATACTTTCTTTCATACTAATTTTAATTTCCTATACTTTTAATAAATTATTTAACTGAAATACTTCGGTTTGCATGCGCATTTTCAGTGAAATTCAATACAGCAATGAAATTGCAATGCAATTTCAATTCCGTATATACTCGTAGGTAAATAATCCAATGTACCTGGTTAATCTCAGCTTTGCCAGGTACGAAGTCCCTGTACGCCACAGAGATGGTCCGGAGTCCGTCGCAAGCCATCGGTTCGATGACTTGTCTGACGAGGCGATCTTGCATGTCGCGGGTGAACTTCTCCAGGCGACCCTCGTGACCGTAAATAAATGCGCATCTGAAAACCGGAACTCATATGAATATCTAGGAGGAGAGTCACCGAGTGTCGTCCTAACTATTATTGTCAGGGAAGACTATTTTTTTTATTACTAATAAGGTAGCAAACAAGTATACGATCCATTTATCACACAAATTATCACAATATGTTACAGATATGTTTATGAACTTATAATTAGTCCATTATCCATCAACGTCCGTAATAGTCTATCACTGATCTGTCTGTTACCGATTTGGTTTCCTTTTTTTTGGTTTCTTAATAAAAACTAAGAAGACTTTTCTGCTTGTTGTAAACGAATTTCGGCAATCATTAGTTCACCGCTATTTATAAAAATGACAATTAGTTACAAGTTAAACTACCGCGAAACAAATGTGCTTACTTCTTGAGTACGATTTCAGAGGCACCCTTGGTGTATAGCCTGTAGCCGCCCTTGTAGGGCACGACAGTGGACATGCTCTTGCGCACCGAGTTGAAGGTGTAGACGCGGGTGAACGACTCCTCAGGGTTCTTCTCTCGCACGTGGTCGTAGCTCTGGCCAAGGCCAACTACGAAGCCCAGTAGAGCGCACTCGGTCTTGTTACCTACTTGCATTGGTGGGCCGGCCGGGTCTTGAGATGGCTGGAATACATTACTCATTAATATTCTGACAGTCAAAATCCTTTTTTTTAAATCTATATGGATAAAATATCCATCCGTAAAAGTAAGAAGATTTAAAAAATAATGCGAACTTTAAGGGTTTACTTTCAGAAAGTAACCTTGTTCACAATCTTAAAAACTAAATTAAAACTATCACCAAGTACACAATAATATCATGACCTAAGTGTATCGCTGCAAGAACTTACTATAAAAATGGGTAGACTAGTAAGCTAGATGTTGAAATTGCGATGAAGTGGTTTCCGCTTTGAATCCCAAATCAGTGCACTCCCAATATGAACCTTCTCCTAACATTAAGCATTTAGCAATAGCTGGAGGGGATTACAAGACTTTTTGTAATATATAATTTAGAATGAGTCTAGGTTCTAGTATTATTTGAGGGTCGATCGGTTGATCACCATTTAATGCAAATACATTAACAATTATTTCATCATCAATAGCCTTTAATAGTCCATTGCTGGACATAAGCCTCTCCTTAGAAAGGAGGTTTTGGCCTACTATACCACGCTGGCCAGACGTGTTGGTATAGGGTTTGGTAACAATTATTTACTTGAATTCAATGAAGTGGTTTAGGTAGTTTGTATGTAAATACAGAGTAAATTATTTACTAATAAAACAAATCTAACTGGTATTTATAGAGATAACCAGCTTCAAGTTCAGTTTTTAGCTTTATAGTGTTAATGCACATTGAAACCTCACCATAATTCTGGAAGTGAAAGCACTATTTACGGAGATAGCCTCAATCATGGTCTCAGCCACTTCCGGCGGAATATCTCTATAGTTCGGCGTGACCTTGCACAGCTTCTCGCAGATGTAGGACTGGACCACTGTCATGCGGTTGGTCGTGAGAGTGCCGGTCTTGTCTGAACAGATGGCGGTGGCGTTGCCCATGGTCTCGCAAGCGTCCAAGTGACGGACCAAGTTGTTGTCTTTCATCATTTTCTGGAATATAAATTTTATTTAAGACTTATGTTTAATAATAATAATGACTTCATTGCCAGAAAAATACAAGACTGTTTTTTACATGCACAGGCGAGGAAAATGAAAGACAAAAAACTACGATCAGCATCCATCCAACCTGTGTATCAGTACATGTCGTCCCTACCCTTAGAAATTATTGATAAACTAGGCTAATTGAACATATTTACAAAAGTAATCATTGTTACGCTAAATTGTAATGGCAAAAAATTGACTCTGATCTTGAGTAAACATTAAACTGTCTTATTAATAATGCCCTCACGAATTTTATGGCTTTTATAGCTCCATGGATATTTTTCATTTTATTTTTTATTCTCTAAAAATTACTGGCAAATATTCAATGCACTGCAAGATAAAATATAGTCACTGCGATAGCAGTGGCGTAGTAACTAAAAAAAACTATATAACTCCAGACAAAATGACATCAATCTCACCTTGACAGAGTAAGCGAGCGAGAGAGTGACAGCGAGCGGTAGACCTTCAGGCACAGCGACGACCAACACCGTCACACCAATGATCAGATGCTTCACCAGGTTATTAACGTACGTCGCTTTCCAAGGCTTCTCCTCGATAACAAACGTGTGGACGCAGAACTGGATGACTAGGATGATCACAGTCAGTACAGCGATGGTGGAGCCAGCGTAACCGATCTAGTCAAGTTACAATAAAATTATAATGATTAACGATTAATACAGCAGACTTGTACAGATACGGGCACGTATACATACAAGCTTAGAATAATAACACCTACAAGGGTACGTGTATGTATACGTGGCATGCAGGGAAAAACTATTATTGTAAAAAATATATTGTCTATTTAAATATGTCGGATTTTGTGAGCAAAATATTACGGGGTCGAAAAATACCCGAAATACACAATATACTATTGTAAGTCTTATACTTAAATAAAAATTTAACTTAAATGGTCGGGATGAAACGAATTTTGTACTATTAGTCATAAACCTCACTTTGAGAGGATAGGTCTTGGTCCATCAATTTAGTCTGGTGCAGGTTGACAGAATTTACAACTGTCAGGTGTGTAGGGTTTTCATGGTTTCTTGTTTCACCGCTAAATACATAACTAAAGATAGCCGATCAGTCATGACCTTTTTAACATTAACACTATATACGAGTATATATTATGTGATCGCAGACGGACCTGTATGGCAAGCTTGGTCAGTTTAGCCTGCAGTACAGACTTCTCCTTCTTGTGCGATGTCTCAGCGGGCGGCTTGTCACTGACGGGAGCGGCGACGTGGTTGTCGTCGGGCCGGGCGTGATTAGCGCCATGACTGTTCCCGGACGATGGCAGGGTAACATCCTCCTCACCTGTGTTGTGGACCAATCAGTTATTAGAATAGTTGCACATTGAATATGGAAATGTTGCTCATACAGCCTGGAATTAAGTATTTCTCTCCAGATTAATTCGTTAAGTTTTATACTATTAATTAGATATATTTTTTAATTTAATAGTAATAGGTTGACGATCAACATAAATAATAAATTTACTTGATTCTAGGCTGTGTTACTATGACAAGAATTAAAAAAAATACTGTACTAACAGTTTACGTCACAAAAATATTACTTTTATTATTTATTTTAAATAGTTAAAAGAAATAGTGCTAGAACTTTGTAAGTACTACAGGGTGTTGTCTTCTTTAACATTTGATAGTCTACATATCCTACCTCATCTAGATATATTATTACTATTAGAAGAGGGTTACGAGATGCTAAAATATACACTGATTTAATAGAAAAGCTACGGTTTAGGTGTTACTACAGAACAATGCTACAATGTAGAATGCTGTTATGTGGGAATGAACAATGCATTTTATTATCGACAGTAGATTAAAAGGTTAAGGTCTCTAATTAAGAAAATCTAGAGTACTGTAAAAGTTATTTATATAATAATGTATTTAATTTTGCTGTATTACTTGTCATCATACTACTTTTAAACTGTTCTAAAATAGTGCCTTAGGCTAGTAGTATGTTTAGTCAAGTACACTTAAGGACAGATAATCTACCCAGTTTCAACAGTAAGCTCAGAAGCGGCAATATAAGCACCAATACCGCCTACGATAAACTTGATATCTTTAGGCGTACATTTTTCTGGCCCTAAGTGTACGTAGGGTATGTTCACTAAAGCGGGGCATAGCAAAGGAGATTACTTACCGGACAAACTCTTGCGCTGGGTTCCCTTTCGTTGCTGCTTTTTAGCCTCTACTCGATTCAATTTTTCCAATATCCATAGATTTGTTTTTTTTTTCAATAATAATATCATACAAGCATACACATTTATGACAACAATTTGATAATATTTTGTTTATACATCATGCAGTCAACACGACATTTACACGATGCAGTATGTTTCATGTCAATGTGTACGTTTAATTTAGTTTGTTTTTTAATTTTTAATTTTAATTTATGTTTTATTTGTTGTTCGGCGACATGGAGGTGGGGCGTGCAGCAGGCCGAGGTCGGGGGTGGAGAAAAAAAAATTGGATGTCATTGTACGGATCACACTATGTTTGGTTGTGGTACTAAATCTAAAGGGATTGATGGTACATATTGTTTAAGCGTTTGAGGATAAATACAGTACAATGCATCTGTTTTCTACAGTCATTTCTACAGTTTAATAAGCTTTAGTTTTAGTATGAAAAATGTATTTCTTTGCCTCAATAGCTTAAACAAAGCGTCTAAAGTTGCAAACTTATGCTTTTAAGGATATTTTTAATTGCTTTTTATGGTTATTGAAAGAGATTATTTTTTTATTGCGAACGAATAATTTATTCGTTTATTAAGACATCGATCTGACACATATATTTTGAAGAAAAAAAAACATTTTCGAAATTTAACATGCTTCCACAATACATTTCAGGCTATTAGTCATACATATAACATAGAAGAACAACGTTTAATAAAACTGAATAACACGACATTTAATATAAAGATAAGATTGGATCATTCATCTCACGAATAAATAAAATAATCTCATTTTGCATGAAATTGGTCAAATATGAAGTAACAAAACAAACAATAAAATTATCATGCTTAATGTGAAATAAATTCGCGAAAAAAAAACTTTGACATACTTAGTTTGGTCGACATTGTAAACGTTTCACCAATTTCATTTTTTTCATTCGGGTATTGGGTGGGTTTATGACGAGGGCAATTCATACATCACTGGTTATACTAATGTATGCATCAAGCATCGGGCGTACTGTGCTCATTTAGTTAAGCTATAATGCACTCTATTAAAACAACACACTCTATTTTTGTTACAATTTTCACTCGTGTTTTTTTTCTAAATGAGCAGAGTATGGCAACGCTAACTATTTGCGGGGGATTTGCTAAAGGACAGTACTACTGGTGATACATTACAAACTCACTCTAATCAACCATAGAATAAAGTTTAATTTGCTGTGCACAAACTGATATGAAACTTATATTCCACTTTATTGAATTTCAAATCAATAGTAACAAGAACTTTACACTAATGGTTGCCACCTTTTCCAGGAGCCACCAGTAAGGCTGTCCACAAACTAAGTAGGAGGACAATATCAATAGTGCTACCGCAGCGTCGACATAAGTACAAGGTGTGGGACTGACCTTTCTTCATCTGCTTTATTTCTTTGTCCTGATTCTCGACCGCAGCGCCAAGGAGAGTGAAGATGATACCAGCTTGGGAATTCACACCAACAGCTGTTACTAGCATTTTGCCGGAGCCTAGAATTTGTCAAGTAAGTTTTGCACATTAATATACATAGCTCTAACTCTCTCTATTCAATCGTTTCTTCTGTTAGCAGAATAATCTAAAATTGCCTTTTCAATAGTTTTATAGAATGGTTAGCAACGCATTAAGATACAGAGATGTTACTAAAATTTATATTTTTATAACAAAAAAAAAAATAATTACCTTAACGAAGAGCACAGTAAAACTATAGTAACACAACGAATTAGTAGTATTGAGCTAGAGAAAAATTGATACTCTTCTTTGTCACACCACCTTTATTTTACAGTCATTCTCTTTTGATGTCATTTCGTGTTAGAAGAGTAGAGTCTTACCTTCCATGACGTGAGTACCAGATAGCACCATGGGATCAAAAGATTCTCCCTTCTTGACATGGTCCGATTCGCCGGTCAGCGATGATTCGTCGATCTGTAATGTACCGTAGACTTTATAACATAAGGTTTCCAATGCTCTTTACATATTCTGTAAATAATTGTGTGTGTGTGTGTGTGTGTATTAACTGTATTTACAGGTGTGTGTATTTGTTTACCAACATTTTCGTACTGTAATTCGCTTGGTATTAGTTCCTAATTGGATACATAACAGCTTGTTATTATTTCTTAGCTAATAAGCATTTTATTTGTATATAACAATGAGGATGTTGACACTTATCATATAATTGCGTTACTTTGTGACTAAATAATTATTTTTAATAGTTTAAAACTATATTTATTAGGTATTACATACATATTCAAATAAGACTTAAATAGTAATTATTATCGGGTGAGTGCACACGTCAACCAGGTCCAATGCGTCATTAGCCAATGAATAAGCCGATAGCTGTCAGTTGGTATAAGCTGGATGTTTCTTCCAATATTATATTATTTTTCGCGTTAAATAAAAGCCTAGTTACAATAAAAGCTGTTGTGAAAATTTGTAAACTGAGTATATAGACCTATTGTCATAATTTGTATGTTTTTAATATTTATGACATGTTTGTATCATCATTGACGTGGCTACATCTAATGCGGAGTTAGAAACATCGAATGCGGAGGGTCAGACCGGCTGGTGGTGAGGTGACGCGTCGCCATGGTATGCGTCGCCACGTTGTGTTGTCGCCACATTTCCTTTCATAAGCTATACTTGTACATCTACCAGACGTACCACGGGGCTCAATTCTTGTTATTTATTTTTATTTGTAATAATAGTCATTATATCTCTAGTGTATTTCCTTCCAGTACCGTTTACTTATCATTTATCATATTATCATGAATTAATGTCAATCTTCACATCATATTGTCTATAAATAAATAATGGAAAGAGGCTATCGATTAAGCCTACATTTTCAAGCAAGAATTACTAGAATACATAGGGTGTCTCTTAAACTCTTATGCAGTATAAATAATTGCTATCTAGAGGAGTGTGTGTACAGCTTATCGGCTCAATCAAGTAGTTCTTGAAATGGTATAAATCGTGTTATTATACCTTATCTTTAACCTTCAAAGAGTATCAAGATAATTGTTTTTAATTACATTGAATTTTGTTTCTTGCATAACTTTTTTGACTTCAATTTGAATTCTTCTATTTATTCATATTTCTATGTATTCTTCTTCTCTTCACGTTACACAAAGTTATCAACTAAGCAGATAAATATATATATTTCAGGAAAAAAAATATAAATAAAACATATAAATACATAGTAACGACACAGGTTTGCGATAACCCACTGAACCTTATCGTTGTTTGATCATTAAGGTATTCGTTTTTATCAATTGACGCACGTTGTATCAATACAAATCTGATATAAGGACACAAACACACCGAGGTAGGTGTAACGCGATAGCGTTATTACACAGCGCGGTAAACATTTGTCACTACGCAGTTAAAGTCTATAAAGATGTAATTATTGTTGGCCTTATAATGTAATAACTATTCTGTCATACTGTTGCTATAAGCTATTTCTAGTTTAAATTTTTCTATAGAGAAAATATTGAAAATTTATTAGGGTGTTTACTTATATCAGTTACTAGTTACGCCAGTTATTATTGGTGCTGCTTTTCCTCCCTATGTTGTAATTTGCTATGATTTCCTGTATTCGACACAGTCCTTTTCAACCTACTGCAGTCTCAGCCTCGTCTTCCAAACGAAAACTAAAGAATCCTCAATTTCATGTCTTGAATAAATAAACAATAATAAACCATAATAATAGTAAACAATAAATTTAGCAGCATTCAACTACCTAGACAGTGTTCGATTCTTGCTCAGTGCAAATTTGTGTATGCGTGAATACTGCATTACTCTGGGTATTTCGTTGTATGTATTGTATTAATATGCACTTACAATAAACCCATGTCATATCTTAATACGTTGTGTTTTCAACCCACAGTTCAACCTTATAACTACCGGTATGATTAAGAAGATGGCGATGATACAGTATACGGCTCTATCAATCTTACCTTCAAGTCATTGCTCTGCAGCAGTACGCCATCAGCGGGCAGCAGGTCACCGTACTTGATCTGACAGATATCGCCGACGACTATCTCGCTGATCGGTACCTGCTTCACCTCGGAGCCCCGGATCACGGCGAACTTGTGCTCGCCTTCTATCCGTGACTGCAGCCCTCTGGAAACGTTTGACAGTGACATTTGAAAAAAAGATGACCGAACATGTTAAAACTACCTAGAAAGTCTAGAAATGATTTGAAAAAGGAGATTTTCTGTTCACAAATATTCTATCACTAGGTTTTGTCCGCGGCTCCGCCCGCGTATATGTCGGTTATAGCGGTAAAAAGTAGCGTATGTTACTTGCTAACAATGTAAGTTTCCATTTAGTAGTTTAGGAGTGAAAGCGTACGAAACAAACAAACTCACTTTCACATTTATAAGTATGGATACATAATGTATGGGATTATAATAGGATCAAATTTTATTTTTTTCGATTTGAATATCTATGTTGTATGTATATACACAATATATGTTTATATTATATATAGTAATACGATCAATGTATTTTAACCCAAACTCAACTCTCATGTAAACGGGGCCAATATATGTAGTGTCACGAGATCAATAATTTTTTCCCATCTAAAAAAATACATTATTTTGTTTGTTGTTCAAAAGAAGTTTTCACTTTAAAAATTGCTTTAACTCTAGTGAACGAAATAAATGTAGTAGTACATACCTGAATTGCCTTTCTTTTGTGTAATCGTTGAACGCTGTTACTATAACGACGACTATGACTGATATTAAAATTGCCAATCCTTCGATCCATTGGTAATGACCTTCCTCTTCGTCAAGATGTGCTGAAATTTACCAAATTATATTCAATAAACACGTATTATGTAGAATGACGAACTTTTCCATAGCTAGCCGATAAACAATACAATCAAAATACTAAAAAATACACATAAAATATTGGATTTCTAGTGTACTTAATAGGGTTTTACATAATTATGGTTTTATTTACATGCACATGGCACACATGTTTAATTTAACTAAGTTTAATTTTTATCCGCTATTCAAACAATGAGGTTCTCAAAGCAACTCATTTTTTATTTTAGTCATATTTTTTACAGTCAAAAATATTATTTTTGAAGACATGCCTTTTGACATTAAAAGTGAAAAGAACCTTATTGCCATTATATTTCGTATAAAGAAAAAAAAACCATATTAAATTTATATTTTTATGTTTTATTTGATAATATTCTTTGAGTTTAGCAGACTGTCTATGTAACCGTGATACACATATAAGGAAACACGGTTAGAGCACACTTTAAATTTTTATTCTATACTAACAAATAATTATTCTTTATTAGAATTCTATATTTAGAGACGTATGTTTCAGAATAAATAATTTCCAGTAGTAATAGATTTTGAACTCTTTCATGACAAGCAAAAGGTGTATTTTTCTATACTCCGGTGTGAGGAGATTAACAAATGGCAGACGGAAATGCTAGTTCGTACCGATGATAAGCTCAATTCATTAGCAAGGCACTGCCATTCAATGAATTACAAATGAATCGAAAACAGGTTTTAGCACCAAGTGTATCTATAGAGTAATGCAGCGTGTCTACTACAATTTATATCCGAAACTATTATTTTACGTAAATTTCATTCATACTATCTTTTTTTTACCAACAGTTGTTAAACTCCAATTTTACTTAGACAATACTTAGGAATTGAAAACGGCGTTGTTATACACTGTTTGTGGAAAAAAAAGCAATAATTTTATTGATCTACAAATCAAACTATTTAAGATTTACAAAAAAAAAACTGCTTTACACTTGTAGCGGCTTCAAAAAAAAACAGCACAAAGGCATACTTTATCAAAGACAATTTGCACTGTGTAGTAAATATTAATTCTTCATTGCGCAATGAAAATTCTCGTTCCGATTTGTTTATGTATTGTATATACGATTTCCTGATCTTCCAGGTGGATCACCTTAGTCGTAGGATCCTCCATTTGTGTTAGAGTAATACAGCTATAGAGTTTATATTTCCATTGTTAAAAAATGACCAGATTTACTAACGTACAGTCAGCAACAAAAAAAACACTCATTGTTATTTATAAAATAACGCTGAAAATTTGCAGTTTATTTGCAAGTACTTTGCAGTACTTACACCTCTTGAAATTAATGTTACAAATAAACTGTCATGTATGCTAGGTTGTTAGGCGACTTTCGGTGCTGACTGTACCAACATTGAATTCCTAATTACACCAGAGAATGGATAACTTGTCGTTTTATATTTAGTATAAATTTTTTTTTAGATATTTGAGATAAAAAATGTAAGTCTATATAACACGCTATACGTTGCTTTAACTGAGGATGTGCTCATTTCAACCTACGTGCTGATAAGTACATATTTTAGAACAACAAAGATATACATTAGCTTCACCATCCTTAACGAATAACCTTAAACATCGAATACCATTCACTAAAACATTTAACGTTTTTTTTTAACTAATATCCCATCAACACACATGGTCAACAACACAACAAACAACTCCATTCCAATCACTACTAAAATATTTATAGGAGAGAGATAGCGATAGGCAAGAGAAGGGGATAGAAAGAGACAGACAATACCGTAAGCCGTGCCAGGTGGTGCACAGGTCAAAGAATGGAATGGCATTGAGTTGAATAGGGGCTGCAATTTTCTTTCGCTTTTCATTTCATTGTCGTCAGTGCAATAGGATCAAATTGTACATAAGTACTAAAGTAAAATAATTACTTAACGATTCAATTGTAAGTTTTTTATTTCTTGTCTAAAAAGTAAATTTTAATGGTTGTGTAAATATAGTAAAACCAACTATGTTTGTATTGTATATGCGTATAATGCAGGAAATGTTTACGAAATTTTCTGTTATGAAGAGGCTTTACCTGCCATCTCGTTATTACACAGCAAATTAAACATTAGGATTCAACCTTCATAACATGAAAGAGATAGCATCAAATTCTGATGTGTTTTGAATATACGCGAATACACAATCTCATTAAAGAAGAATGATTTAATGAAACTGGAATGACTGTTTATTGGTAATTCACTGAAATGTTTGATCTTATTTCACTGGCGTCCTACATAAAAAATTATGTAGATTCATTTCAATTCAGTGAATCGAGATATGCCTTCACAATATCGGTCAGGAACTATTACATCGCATTATCTATTTCACTTTGTCATTCATTTGTTTCTATACCATTAATTTCTAGTGGATTTAGACATTTTATTAATTATTCATTTAGCTTACAATACAGAAAAAACAATTACCAAGAGTTTAAAATAAATGATAGTTTAGTTTCAAATATATTGATAAAAGTTTTAAATATTTAAGGAGACCAAATGCCAATATTGATATTTGGTCCAATATAGGATCATACACACATACATTCACGCCCTATATCCACAAAAGGGTAATCAGAAGCGAATTATACGCGCGTATTTTGCCAATTACAACTTAAATCCCAGTTACATAGTCAAGCCTAATTCCGATAACCGGGCACGAATCAATATTGGCAAGTGTCGATAAGACAGGTACAGGGACACACAAGCGGACAGACCAACCTACGTTTAGGAACAGGTCAGGGTGCATTCTACTAAGTGGTACTCAAGATCGAGTGCAACTAAAATCAATAACATGCCTCATTACCATGGTACATATATTTAATGACCACATCGAACTATTTTAGAGACTGCATTCTGTAGTCAACGTTGAAATTGTTTGTCAGTTACTGAGTTTTAATTAGGTTTGCGCAATACTTGGCTTAAGTGTGGCTCTAGTGGAGCTTGCGAGGTACATCGCGACCATTAAATGCAGTGTTATAGATGTGAAATAGGTGTTCAAAGATATTTTTGTAGTGAACCAAGGTACTGGCAGACATAAAAGAAATGTCGATAAGTTCAATATCGATTTAGTTGCTAGTTTTAGTGTAAGTTACTCGGATGGTATCTAGAAGCCAATTGTACTTGAGCACCTACTTAGAACTAATGCAACGGACAATCGTGTTATTTCAATTCACATATTCTTACCAGGATCGTCTAATGTTCCCATATTGTTTATTATTGAAAAGGAAAAATACATAAATTAATATACATTACCTTATGTTAAGGTATTCTAAAATACATGCACGAGATACACATTACACTATAAGTTACGTCTTCTATTAGAAATTGTTAGAAGTTCAGACGGGTGTTGAGTAGTTTCCTGCAGACTGGTTGATTAATGGCTCTTCGGTGAAAAACTTAAAGAATGTGATGACATGGGTAATGAGCTGTTTCCAAAACGGTAACAAATATTTAACGTAAAAGTGCTTCATGGTCTAATAAATAGATAAAAAATAGATCAATGTTCATTTAATCTTCAATTACGCACGTAAATACAATGCAACCTTTTTGCTCGGTGATATTAATCTTACGAATATAATTAGGTATTTTAATACCCGTTTTGGTTTATCAAAATAAAAATAAACAGCATTAAATACGTCAAACGGTATGAACCATTTTTGGTATGCTTTACTGAACGTGACTTTGTGCGATTCGCGTTAAAACACAAGAAAAATTTGCATTTGAATAATTCAAATAGATCACATGATTTATTTCACGATCGATTGGCTAATTCGCCACGGTCGTGTGGTATCTCGTAGTGTCTGTTACGGAATTACTAAAAGAAATTATCGAAAATAAAGTATGTTATGTATGAATATTATTGATTAAACAAATAAACTCGAGATATTTTGATACTGTAGAGATGAAGATAATTCATTTTCTACAATGTAAGCATATAGTTTCATCTGCAAGAATATTCAATACGAAAATATATTTAACTTTGATTTATATAGTAATTTTATAAGAGTCTGATGCAGATGTAACTATAAAACCAATGTCCAATACCTAAAAATACATGTTACTTCTAAGTGTTAGTATTACTTTGAACATTTCATTCAGTTCACCTTCCGTAAAGATATGAACAGTCAACTCACCGGGGTCGGTTGGGTCATCTGGCGGCTTGTAGAAACTCAACCCTAACGAGACGACAGCAGCCACCTCGAGGATAATGAGGGTAACGTCCTGCAGGGCCTCCCAGACTAACGTGAGGAACGTCTTTGGGGGCTTCGGCGGGATAAGGTTTGAACCGAACACTTCGCGCCTGTGCTGCAGGTCCGCTTTCGAACCGCTAAGACCTGGAGACAAAAAATAAATTATGTTAATATTGGCGGCATAAATACATAGATTTTGATATGCTGACAGAATGTGGCCATTTACATTTTTAAGTATTCGTTATGCAAAAAGAGACATGAAAACTGTTTAAGACTGTAACCGTTATGCCGTTTCCTTATTCTGCTCGTCAAATTTTATCGCCCTTTTCCTGCAGTAGATTGCATTCAAACATTGTTATAAATAGAGAAAAGAAAATAAAAGCTACGACAAGCAGCAGAATCGTAAAATATATAAAAACTCCCGTTTCTTTATTTAAATAAACAACGTTCAAATACGTTTGAAGTTCATCCCATAACCTACACTTTAAAACCCCACAGCTAAGATAAATATAGATTAGTCTTTCTACCAGTCGAAAATAAAACTGGAACCAAATCTGTACTTCTACATGTTACGACTAAAACTCTTTTTAGCATAAAGTTTTGTAATCGTGAACGTTACGTTAAAGTCTCAAATTGCGATGTAAAAGTAACACGTAAGATAGATGAGGTTGAACATTAAGACGATAATACAAAAATACCCGCAGATACCGTGTAATAAAATTTATACTCCAGAATAAAACTTGTACGCGGCGTACATTAATATTTCTGAGTTATTGACGATGAACTTTTATTAAAAAGGAAGAATACTTAAGATCTTCATAATATAATCCTACAAACTGAGATTGTATAAATTAAAAAGTAGACATAAAGAAACCATACGATAATTCATTAGCCGTAGAAGACGTCACATTTTCATAGGTTACCAAGAATTAGCATTGCAAAAATTGAATAATTTGGGTTACAAAGATCATTTATCATTAAGTTAATAAACTTATGAATTTTAGAAATAATATCTTAAAACTCCGAGCCGTGATATAGCAGCTTCGTTATAAATTTTTGGTTCTCTAAATATACCCTTTTATTTGACATGAAATCTACATGAATTTTGCATTTCCTCAATTTTTTTGACGTCAACAAGCTTTAATAGCAATTTGAATTTTGTCACCCTAGCAATTCATCGCAGACCTTTTTAATAAATATGCATTGAATATTAACATGTTTTTAAAAGGATATTTCGGTAATGTTTGTGTTCTCATTTTATTTACTTCCATCTTGTTTCACGATGTCTTAACATCAATCACATCAATAACATCCGAATGTGAATCATATTGATTGATTGTATACATTTGTGCTCCAGGGCATCGAACTGGGTAGCATTCGCGTGTTTTTTGAGTTTTTCTATTTGAGGTGAAGTCGATGAACGAGATTATTATTTACATTATGCAGATTCTATAAAGAAATAAGGCAAAAACAGCGTAGAAGTTTTAGTTTAAGTAACCGTTAAAATTATCAAATTTTAATCGTTAAAATTATAAATTATTATTTATAACGTATAAATAAAGATAGTTGAGGATCACGTTCCTAATCCGAGATGTTACCGAAAACAATTTTATAATCCTTACTTCCCTACCTAAGTTATAAATTTATAAGAGTTCCTTGGGAAATATCCAGGGATCCACCTCTTATGAATATGAATCATCTAAGACGGTCGCATGTCCCTGAGGATCATCTCGAGGGAAATTTTAATTCCGTCGAAAGGGACTTAACAGTATGGATTTTGTAGATCTCTCTTAATACTTATTAAGTAATCTTGGTTTAAACAAGATTAAACGTCCCTGTGTTGATTTTACAATTTTCATTATTAATAGTATTTTTGATGACAGGATTTTTGTTTTCGCTGTTGGATAATCCTGAATACTGTTCTTCAAGAATTATGGTCATACTCGTTTACAAACTTGGTAATTATTAAATCATTTATTGGGACTACCAAGGTATTAACTTGTTAAGATTTTTTTAAGCTTTTAGACTTAGTAATAATTACAGAAATTAAATTAATTTCTAACTTTACTACGAAGTAAATACAAAGCTTTAAGTACCACTTAATCCTGTTAAGAAATAATTATTTATTATGTAAGTAAAAGACATTTAAATAGCATAATAATTTATAACATAATTAAAGATTTTAAACAGTAATTTATTTCGAGAGTCGAACTTTCTTTGAATCATAATAAACTGCGTCGACTTTAATTACAAGATAAACTTCTAACTTCTTTCTAACTAATGAAATATCTGTGCTTATTTTTAAACAGAAACTCTTCTTTATAATGCTCACAGAGGCGATAACAACACGCATGTCAAAGACAATAGGCGTTATTTCATTCAACGAAAAACTCGACGATTGCGCCGTCTCTCCCCTTTTCAAATTGTTCACTGAATTGAATCCTGTAATTTGCCAAATAAATTTAGCGTTATGCTTGAAGGGAGGGGCGGAATAAAAAAAGAAATGTTTGTGTTTTTATTTGGCTACATTATTTAGGGCAGAAGAGGAAGAGGCACAAAAGTGGGTGTGAGACGGGTCTGCATAAGACGGTTGTTTTATAAAATTCAGTTAAAACGTAAGCGCTTTTCATATCGCTTTTGGTTTGATTTACGAGTATTTAAAATTAATGTTGTATTCAATTGTATTTTTTGTGATGTTTTAGTAAACAGTCCATATTGTTTATAAGTGTATTGTATGAGAGTAGAACCTTCATAAAATTAACATAAGATACTGAGGCCTATTCCGGGGTAGGACTGGATGATATAACGCCATTGTCCACGGTTCTGGCATACATCTTGTGCCTTTTTCATATTCATCAGACCCTATCTACAAACTCGTCGTTAATAAAATTTACTGACGATGACATACGTCACAAGAAAGCTCAAATAAGTTAAACCAACTAAGTCAACAATGTAAGTTATTTTATAAAAACCGAATGCACATACATACGTAAGGTATGTTTGGACATTTTCTCTGCTACTTTCGACTTCATAACTACTGTTTAAAATGTTTTTATGACTTAATATTATTTAAGAATAATATAAGGTTTTTCTTTATAACATAACTGTACTAACTCACTTACTTCCTCAATCATACTCAATATAAAATCCAATAATATAAGGGGAAAAATCAATCCAAATACCTACAAGCCGTTGGTCAATACGCAAATTGACGTAGCGAATTCATCTCAGTTTTATGAGGGATGTTGAATGCTTTATTCAAACAACATTTACCTGGCGCCGAGATGATGACGTAATATTTGTATTTTGCACGGAACGCGTTGTGATGAATTTTAATTTATTGAGCTATTTTTGGTGGCTGGTGATCTAGGCGTTAGAGAATGTAAGATGATTGATAAGACTTGTGGTGTGCATTAAATGACTCTTACATAAGTTTAAAGTAATTTTATTATGGCGTCATTTCTGTACATACTTTTGACAGTCTAAGTCTAAGTCGTAAAACCTCTGTCATAGCTATTCACAGCTGTTTTCATCATACATATTTTTTTAGTATACATTTTATGCTAACGAGTTTATATTTATGGCCCAAATTCATTTATGAAAGGGAAGAGAGTTCGGTTTTTAATAAACATTCCTAAATCTTTAATATAAAGTATTTTCTTCTTGTGACAGAAAGATACTAAAGAAATTTGTATAATGTAGTGGTGGGCAACTATCTAATATTTGTGTGAATAAAAGGATTAGGTTTTCCTGTAGTGCAAATATTTATGGCTATAGCAAGGAGGAGAGACAAGAAGATATTGAATAATATTCCTGTCATATTGTTTTAACAAAGTTGAAAAAAGACTTATATCACATACGTTTCTGAAGTCGTTGTTTAATATGATTTAGGGCAACTGTATGAGTTAAATAAGTAAATACACATGCAGTAATCAAAATGTATAAGACTCCCAAGTCATGTGAGTCCGCATATTATAAACTTAAGTTTTGTGTGTTAATGCCATCATTTAATCATTACACTGCTGATAAAACCAAATTATATAAAAACTAAATGTACACTGACACGCTTGGCACATTAAAATTGTATTGTTAAAAAATGAGAAATAAAATTAAAGCGAAAAAGAGATAAAAACCACACTTGAAGCGGTTTGTGTATCGCGTCAAAATTTGAGTCCGATCGGTGCAGAACTTTTTGAGTTATTGAAGCGTACACAAACTTTACATTTATATATATATATATATATATATCGATTTTCGTACTATAAATATCGAATTAATTCTCAGAATGAATTCATACTCTTCTCAATTTATTTACCCCCAATAAATACAGAGCGACCTGCAAGAAATTGTTTGGACAATCGGGCTTAATCGGCTGGGTAACTCTTGTTTTAGAAGCTCTTGTGTAAACTGTCCCAGAAACCATGCTGTTCGAGCGTGTTATATTACAACTGCTAAATTTGGACTAAAAAGAAACATTATAAATACAGGATCACCCACGATATGTGTGTTAAGAGTTGTTCAAAGTGGTTGGGGATATATTGTTAAGTATATTTTGAATCAATATACAATACAATAGTGTGTATATTCCCAGATTAAATCAGTCAGTTCAGTAAATACAGCAGACAATTAGAATGAGCGCAAAAAATGATATATTAAATATTGTTCTCTAGACAAATAATCTTTAGCACCAAAAATAAAATACCATTTATGTAATCAGTTTCGTGACAATCGTTATTATTACAAGGCCGACATTATAGATTAAAATGGTAACAATTTTAATCTTTAGCGATGTGTACAAGTATATAATTTATTAAGATAGCCATCAGGTCTTGATATCGTTTAAAAACGTGAGGTTTTGTACGAATGCTGAAAGTACTTGTAATAGAGGAACTGAATGTAAGTAAGTTTAGGACAACTGTCACATCCGATCAAATGTAAACTTTATAAACAATAAAATTACAAAAATTACCAAGCTGCTAATGTTTTATACACTATTGTAATATAAATTCAACTTCAGATTCAGCAGCATTCAGCAGCTAGTTACTTAAGTCTAGTATCTCACAAAAATATTGTAAAAGCGACAAGACCCTTGGGTGGATAGGTGGAATTTCACGAAAAGTATTTCAGTATGAAAATAATTCTAA